ATAGAATAGAATAGAATAGAATAGAATAGAAAAGAAGGACTAGGGGAGACATGATAGCAATGTTCCAATATCTCAGGGGTTGCCACAAAGAAGATGGAGTCAAACTATTCTCCAAGGCACCTGAGGGTAGAACAAGAAGCAATGGGTGGAAACTAATCAAGGAGAGAAGCAACTTAGAACTGAGAAGAAATTTCCTGACAGTTAGAACAATTAATCAATGGAAGAGCTTGCCTACAGAAGATGTGAATGCGCCAACACTGGAAGTCTTTAAGAAGATGTTGGATAGCCATTTGTCTGGAATGGTATAGGGTTTCCTGCCTAGACAGGGGGTTGGACTAGAAGACCAATGCATGTCCTTTTTTTGACAGAAAATGGGCCCGTTTTCACGAAAGATGGGACATTTTTGGGAGGTCTGCAGAGTGCACAAACTTTTTTTTAATTTGCCTCTTCAAAATCTTGATATGCCTTATACTCCAGTGCCTCTTATACTACAAAAAATACGGTAGTTCCCAAATATCTTAACCCTACATCTGGTGAAGCATATTGATTATGGCCTGGAGACTAACTATCAACCAGGAAAAGTCTTGTTAATTTTTGTTTATTACTATGCCAAAGAACCAAATTTAGGAATATAAAGTACATGGAGCAGTGCCATGTAAAAATTCCCTCCACTTATTTGATGAGGATTCCATGTTATTTCCAAAATCCTGTTCAAAGGACTGTTCAAATTCATCAGTTCAAATTCAGCCTTGGCAAGAAAATGGCAGTTTTTAACCATATCTTAGAACATGCCAATGACCTAGATGACTAAGTACATGAATCCAGGTTGCATTTAATGTCAAGATGGGAGGAGATACCTCTTAATCATTTCATTTATAGTTTTGAATATGAAATGTTTTCCAAATTTCCCAATCAGTTTTTCCTTAACTTAGAAGGACTTTATTAAAACTCAAAAGTGCAAGCAATTATTTTTCTTATGTAAATACAGAGAATAGATTCAATCAGTCAATCAATTGGGCAAAGAGCTGCTGCATTCTGGACCCACTGAAGTTCCTGAACTGTATATGCAACTTAGTACATCATTATAAACTATGATTTCTTTAACCATGATACATTCAACAGTCAACATTGGCTACATTTACCATATAGTAGTAAGCCAGCCAAACCTATGATTCTCCCCCCCTCTCTCACACACACACTCACTCACACACACACTCATTCTCACACGTTCATACATATTCTATTAAGCTTGGTTATTTATTTGCAGTCATTTCATTAACTCAACTAGATAACATCAGCTCTGCACTGATCTTATTGCCTAATTGGGTAATGAAAAGCTTGCAAGTAAACAACCAAGCTCGGAGATTATCAAGAACTTTACAGGTCAACCCTGAACTGCAGACAGTCTATTCTGTTGGAACATCCCATCAAGTCAGGTCTAACACTTTATATATAAACTTCATCAATCTCCTTAGGACTGTTGCAGGCAATACAACTGATGCAGTAATCTGCTTTGCATTGAACCCCAAATCAGTGACACAGTGACATTTACTTTCAGAGAATTAATGCAGATTTTCCATCTCTACTAGAAGATCTGGGATTTTGTATCCGGGCTCCTCTGAATACTTCCCCGAGTATCAGACTAGCTTTTCTATGGTAACTATGGACAATAGCAATAACATCCTGAAAAATTATTTACTCATCAAATTTGAAGGCTGCCCGTCTCACTAACAGAGCAACTCTGGCCTGTGTTTTAATTAAAAGATAAATTAAATTAAGATAAATTAAAAGATAAAAATTGTATAAATATTATATTCTTCTAGAAGGCAATTAAAACAGGAACAGAATAATTAAAGTTAAAAATTAAAAAGAGGGAGGAGGGACATCAAGGCACTAACCAACCCCAAGCTTGCTAATGTTAATTAATTACATTAATGATAACTGCTTCCATCTGATTTTTTGCATCCCAGAGAGGATAGTCTTACTCTGTGTAGACTTTCTTTTTTTTATTGCAGTATAACAAATCCTCTGCCTACCTCTCCAATAAGAACTAAACAAGTTTAAGATACAATGGATCTAATTTACTTAGTTTCAGTATACTGCGTTTCAGCTAATGGGCATGGCACAGCAGGGCTCAGAATATGGTATCTTCCTGGTGACTCCTCCCCAAGTACCAAACAGAGAAGGAGAAAACTTCAGTTCTCAAACAAGTTCCTCCACATTCACTCCTTGGGAGCCACCCTTCAGGTCACTTGCTCTTCTTAAAGGTCTGATGCAAGACGGAGCATAGTTATAGTGTGTGCCACCCAGCAACCATCTCTAGTTATATAGGCAAGCTGACTTCTAGGGTGCTGGGAAGATCAGACCTAGAAGGACTGAGTCCATGGAAAGGTGCTGGGGGAAGGCTTGGTGCCTGGGAAGAAGGTACTTCTGAGGACATTCTTTCATGGGACAGAAGCGGAGCCTCAGAAAACAATCTCCTTTACATGATCTCCATGGATGAAGCATATTTGAGCATCTTTTGATATGTATGTACATAACTATGTAACACATCAGTGTCATTCCAACTAAATGACGCAGTTCTATTTTGTGGGGTAGCTAATGTGTATTTTATCTTCATTTTTTATTTTGCTGCAATTTGAAAGGTGGTGGTAATTTATATTATATTGTTATGTTGTTGATGGTTAGTTAACTTGGATATAGGAAGAAATGGGTTAAGTGAAACTATTTTGGCTGGCAAATGAGTTAGGAAAGTGTGTGTGTGTATGTGTGTGTGTGTGGTGTGTGTGTAACAATGGCAAACAGATAGGATTTAAAATTACATTGATGAAATACAGTTGACCTGATTCCTTCTCATGAATTTAATGACTTCCCTGTTTTGCCAGTTTGGTAGGGCTGTAAGGTAGAAAGCTTTGTGGAACCAAATACTGTCCCAGGTTACATTAGGTTGTACAGCCTTGTCTAAATAGCACCTCTGTGGATACACACATGGATGCTACAGGGAGCCTCTGGGTTTGGGACAGCAACTCTTGCCAACTGCTTGGAATCAAGTCTTGTGTTAGATTCACACGTTCTTCTTCACTCTGTAGCTGTTTGATGACAAATCTGCTTGCTCTGTTTTTCATCCAGCTTGGTTCACAGAAGTGATCTGAGAGGGCAGGGATGTCTCAGAACAACACTGGCAAAGAACCTCCTGCCGCCCCCCCAGGCGAGTGCCCTGTGTGTTACGAAACATTTCAGTCTCCAAAAGTGTCCCGCCGGATGCTGAGCTGCGGCCACACATTTTGCCATGACTGTTTGGTCAAGTGTCTGCTGTTCCATGAAGAAGGGTACCTGCAAAATAGCCTTACGTGTCCCATCTGTCGCTTTGTGACCTTTCTCTGCAATAAAAACGACTGCTGGCCTTCCAAGCCAGCCCTGACCCCATCCTCTTTGGAGTTGCCTCTCTCACCTTCCTCGTTGCCACTCACCTGTGGAGTGCCACACGGCTCTGCAAATACTTTGGTGGTTCCTGGCCATTTCCTCTTGCCGCTGCACAATTATGGCAGACAACAAGGTTCGCAGAGGTATCCTATCGTGGACTCCATTGTACGGCCCAGTGGCCTGGAATGTGAATCTCATATCTTCATTATTACTCAGTGTGGAATGCCACTAATGGAAGAGGAATACATTACCATAGATCACGGAGAAGCTGCTGAATCAGAAGCATCACAAACATGTTCTGGAATGGGCTGCTTCCAGTCACCTATTATGATGGCTGTTTTCCTTATCTCTGCTGTGGCTCTGTTGGGGGCTGTACTTCCCTGGCTTCTGCTTGTAAGAAATAATGAATGAACATGCTGGATGAATCCTTCTATTTCCAAGGTGGGATGATTCCACGATGAAGATTGCTTGTCACTGCATCTACAAGCATGGAAGCCCAAATATTTGCAGGGTCCAGATGGATGGGAAGTCTTATGAAGGGACTGGGAATTGCAGAAAATGGTATTTGCGTTATTCTTCCCTTGTCAGGGTTACTAGTATCCTTATTTTAGAGATGCCAGGAAGACCACCAAGAGAAATGATTGATCCTTATACTATGATAATTTCCACTACTATTGCATCCTCTTGTTTAATTGCATTGGTCTCCAGCTCCATGACATTCAGACAGCAGGCTAATGGCTGTGCTAGTGATTATGAATATTGTAATCTGATCTATTTGGATGGTGCTGAGGTGAGGGAGGCAATTATTCATTGTCTTAGTTATATGGTAGATGTTTATCTGCCCTTCCTCTGAGTTGCTCAAAGCTTTATGAAAGTTCTCCCATTCCCAATGAGGTCAGATCAGATCAGAGATAGAAATATTTCTCATGTTTATCCACTAACATTCCAGAATCTTTCCTGTCAACAATTTTTATATCTCATTTGCATTTGCAAGTTAGCTTGAATCCTGGGCACAGGGAGATTGTTTTCACAAAAAGTTCTTGCCTACTTAATTCCACCTTTCATTTCAGTGTCCACTGTAATTAAATAAACAATCCTGTTCAAAAGACGTTTATGGCAGCCTAGGCAGCAAGGAACATTTGGGCTTATTCCATTCAAATTCCAACTCTTCCATCACATAGTTCTGGAATATTAACTCAAAAGGATTTTTATCCCATGGACCAGCAAGGCCTGAATTTCTACACATATAATTGGGCAGACATGATCTTTTGAGATGTTTCATTATGTTATGGGCATGGAAATTGCTACTTCCTTATTCTGTTCTCAAGGCAAAAGCACAGTGCAATTAAGGCAGATGTGGCTAGTTGGGGATGCTATTGAGCCAGGTCTAAGCAAGATATGTAGCACTGTATTGCTATTGATTGCTTCTGATGCTGTGGTAGGCTAACTACTATTGTACTACATGTGTAAAATATCAGACACTGTGATATTTTAAAGCTAGATTTGTATTATTTTTGTAGCTTCTAAGTTTTGTTTTCTACTTTTGATAATTGTTGTTACAACTAGGATTAATAAAATAATTTCATTTTGGCTGCAGCTTTAGCATATGGTCTATTGTAGTTTCAAGAGCAGTTTTACCAAATTGTCTTGTCTTCATTCCAAATATTGCCAAAATCTTTCCTAACTTGCCTAGGCAGGAATCCCTTCTTGTGAATCTCACTGTTGAATATACAGTCAATAAGCGCCCCTTATGGGCAATGAAGAGAACACCACATGTATAATTTCCAAAGCCAGCTTTCCCCAACCAGGCAAACTCCAGACTAGCTAGGAATCCTGGGAGCTGTAGTCTTAGTATATCAAGAGGTGCCATATTTGGGGAGTCTNGCATCTTATACACTGAATACAGCATTGTTTGCCTCCCGAAACCCCACCCCCTTCACCAAAATGGCCGTGCATAGCTTTTAGGAGGCTTTCAGGGAGCTCCTGGGGGTTGGGGAGGACAGAAATGAGCAAAAAATGGGCCGTTTTTTGCTCACTTTTGTCCCAGCCCCACCCCCAGGAGCACTCTACAAGCCTCCTAAAGGCTGTTCATGCCCTTTTTTTGACAAAAAATGGGCTCGTTTTTGCGAAAAAACAGGCCGTTTTTGGGAGGTTTGCAGAGTGCAAAACCTTTTTTTAAAATTTGCCTCTTCAAAACCTTGCTGCATCTTATACTCATCAATATATGGTAAATATGGTAAATCTAGTAAACGGAAAAAAAAGGGTTGCTGGTGTTTTAGTTTAAGAATATTATATGCTGTCACACATTTTAAGCCTCCTGTAGGTTTGAGGGCTCTGCTTTCCTGTTTTGGTGAGTCAGCCACACTTATCTATGACTTTTCAGCTTTTTCCTGGATTCTCTACTGCGAGAGAAGCATTTTGAACTCCCTCCATCCAAGAGCTTGGTCATGCTTAAGCCATTGCTACTCCCCTATACAAAAGAAAGAGTTTTGTGCTAATGGATGCAGTTTAGATGTATTAGATCAGATATACCGTATTCTTCCGAGTATAAGACGCACCGGAATATAAGACGCACTAAGATTTTGAAGAGGTACATTTAAAAAAAAAAAAGATTTTGCACTCTGCAGGCCTCCCAAACCCTCTGCACGCCTCGTTTTTGTGAAAAACAGGGCATGCAGAGAGTTTGAGAGGCTGCAAAGGGGGACGGGGGGGACGATGGCAAAATCAAGCAAAAAACGGCTTATTTTTCTTTCGTTTTTGCCCTCCCCGGCCCCCAGGAGCACTTTTCAGGCCTCCCAAAGCCTCTGCACATCCATTTTTGTGAAGGGGGCGGGGGTTTGGGAAGCCAAAAATGCTGTATTCAGTGTATAAGAGATACCTATATTTTTGCCCTCTTTTTTGGGGAGGGGAGGTGCATCTTGTACTCCAAAAAATATGGTATATTTTGGTAATATATAATCCGGGCTGTCATTATGACAGTCCGAATGCTGGAAAAATTGGTCAGGGGGGCTAATGAGAGGTTTAGAAATATTTCTAAATGCATCTATGCTTTTATTCCTCACAATTCACTGCGACACACTGCAATGTTCACCAAGCAAAACAAAACAAGAATAAATATTGTTAATGTATTTATGACGTTAATATAATAGGAGGGTTCACCCACAATCATTAAACCCAAAGGCACGTTGGAATTATGACGGTCTTGAAAGACTTACGACATGGGGGACACAATGGTCCCAAATGGACACAGTTGGTAGGGGTGTCCAATCTTGGACACCCCTCAGAGTGATTGACTTCAACTCCCAGAATTGTCCAGCCAGCATTTGACATCCAACCTGCAAACTGATCCACCATGTTTGCTTCTGAGTTGCCTTCCAAGGATGCCCTGTGTAGAATTGGCTGATTAACTATCGTATTTTTTGGAGTATAAGATGCACCTTTCCCCCCCCAAAAAAGAGGGTGAAAATCTGTGTACGCCTTCTACACTGAATGCAGCATTTTTGGCCTCCCAGAACCCCACCCCCTTCGCAAAAATGGCCATGCATAGTCTTTAGGAGGCTTCCAGAGTGCTCCTGGGGGCTGGGGAGGGCAAAAATGAGTGAAAAGAGGACCGTTTTCTGTTCGTTTTTGCTCCCCCTCCCCAGCTCCCAGGAGCACTCTACAAGCCTCCTAAAGGCTATGCCTGCCCTGTTTTTGGCAAAAAGTGGGTCCATTTTCGTGAAAAAAACAGGCCGTTTTTTGCTCGTTTTTGCCCCCAGGAGCATTTTGTAGACCTCTCAAACTCTGCATTTTGTGAAAAACAAGGCGTGCAGAGGGTTTGAGAGGGCTGCTGAGTGCAAAAATGTTTTTTTTTAATTCACCTCATCAAAATCTTGGTGCGTCTTATACTCCAGTATGTCTTATCTTCCCAAAAATACGGTAACCTGAATGCCTTTGAATCAGTGTCTCAAAACACAGGACATGTTGCTGAACAGCTGTCATAAATCAGTCCGTATAGTCAAGGTAGAAGACCACACCCAATGAGCCGTCATCAGCTCTCAAGGCACCTACTCAGCAGTAGATTTTTCCAGTGCTCAAGAGTTCAACACTCAACCTTTCAGAAGACCCAATTCTGGTCACTTTGTTTCTCTGACTTGTCTTCACCGGAGGCAAGCTTGTTTGCTTGCTCCGTACGGACAATCTACGTTTCTTTTCTACCCTACCCAGGCGCTGTTCGTCTTCTGTGGGCTCATAACCGGGTGCTACTGTTGCTGCTGTCTCTGCTGTTGCTGTAACTGTTGCTGTGGAAAGTGTAAACCGAAACCCCCCGAAGGAGATGAACCGGAATTTTATGTCTCTCCGGAAGACCTGGAGGCCCAAGTACAATCAGACGAGAGGGGTGAGTGTGGGCTGCTCTCGTTTTCATCCACCAGGAACACATCCACACATCAGAAAAGGGGAAAGGGATGACACAATGTGACTTAAGGTGCAATAGAGTTGGTGTAGTGGTTAAGGCATCAGGCTAGAAACAGAGTGAGCTCTAGTCCCACCTTAGGTTTCAAAGCCAGGGTGACTTTGAGCTAAGAGCCGAGGTGGCGCAGTGGTTAGGGTGCAGTACTGCAGGCCACTTCAGCTGACTGTTATCGGCAGTTCGGCGGTTCTAATCTCACCGGCTCAAGGTTGACTCAGCCTTCCATCCTTCCGAGGTGGGTGAAATGAGGACCCAGACTGTGGGGGCGAT